CGGGCGGGCGGGTGGAATGGACAGTGAGGGAGATCCATGACTAAGTTTTGTATTTGAAGTGGACATTCCTCTGATATTAAGAGCCAGTAAAATTGCTAGTCGGCAAAACAATATACACAGCCTGTATTCAAGTTTATAATGCCTTTTGTAGGGCAAAATGGATGAAAACCTTACTCTTTTCCAGACCTTGACATACATGGATATGTGCATCTGCATTCATTGTTTTTAAAATTGTAGTTTAGCTAAGGATACTTAGATCTTAATGGTATTGTTTTACTCTTTGGAAAAGAATTTTTTGAGATAGCTTTCAATTCAAGAATAAGAATGTATTTTGGAATTTGGATTTTTGTGAAGCTGGATTAGTATAAAATTTCTCAGTATATATGACAAATGTTAACTTGTGGATAATTAGAGTGAATAAGCTACCGTTTTGAAATGCTGTAGAAGTGGACAGCATGTGAAAGTGTGATGTGTTTTAGCTAGATGAGTCTTTTGAAAACTTGCATTATTTCAGAAGGATCCTCCAGGACACCAAAGTTTATACCTGGCTAATTTTTTTAAAGGGTAGTTTAAATTTAACAGCCAAAATAGCTACTTTTCTTTGTAAACTCTCCAAGTACTCATCCTTAAGTAGTAAATACTATGATTTTGAAGCAGTTGTATTTGAAAACAAACCAACAACAAAAAAAATGGGGGGGAGCGGGGGTGGAAATTCATGTTTTAAGGGTAAAAGAAAAATCATAATGATCAAACTTAACGCTCATCTGGTTCTGGCTTTTTTTTTTTTCCTAGTTACTGAGTCGGAAGGATAAAGCCACCTTTGAAAAGCTGGAGTATGTTATGAGTAAAGAAGATAATTACAAAAGGCTTAGAGACTATATCAGCAGCTTGAAGATGACTCCTTGTATTCCCTATTTAGGTAAGCTGAAGCATTTCTAGTTGGAAGGACTAATGACAAATACACTTCTCCGGCACTTACACAAACTAAACACCATTTTTTAAGCATTCATGAAACTATTTCAATACTTCAGTAAAGAATCTATAACCACTAGTTGATTCTGGATACTCTGTATATGGCAAGAAATAACTTCACTAGCTTCAGAAAGAAAATACCTATTAACACACACTTCACAAACACTTCAGGTTTTACATACGATATCAGTTTTCTAGGAAATTATTTTCCCATATGTTGTATAGATACACTGATTGACTTCTGGAGAAGTACTTAAACTGTTATGCCTGCTAGCACTCTTAGAGCTAAATACTTGACTGTTATAGTAATGATGGCTTTTAATTTATGAGAAGCTATAAATCACCAACCTCTGAGATAAATAAATGTAGATCTTAGGGTTTGGAACATGCTAAAATCTGGAGATACTGCTGCATTTAATTATACTAAGGTGGCAAGAGAAACTGAGTTTTTATGACTGATTCAGCTTTATGGAATAATTATGAAAGTGATATTCCTGTGTATCTGAAAACTAGATAAATGTGTTTAATATGTATTGGTTTTGTTGCCAAGCTAATCTAGGGCTACTTAATGTCTCAGTTTAGTGTGTTTAAAGTGATCTTTTAAACTTAGTGTGCTTTTTTTTAATGTAGCTTTTCTTTGATATCATAAGATGTTGGTAGTCACATTTAAGGAAATGTTTACCCAATTTTTTCCTTTTCCAGAAAAAATATTTGGTATTTTACAGATATGAGTTGCTCTTGCACCTAAATTCAAGATGACCTCCTGTGGATACTAAGGCTGATTAAACTGTAATCTCTTTGTTCCTGAAGTTTGATACTTCCTTTATTCACCCAGGCTATTAATTTTTTCAAGATTAATAACTTGACAGTCATCTTTATGCTGTGATCTATGTGTCCGTCACTATTATTTCAGTTGTTTCATAGCTTGATATGAGTGACAATACCCTGTTTGTTGACATAGCTATTAAAACTAGGCCTGAATTAAAAGGGGCAAAGAAGCAGCCAAGCATGATGTAATGTGATTAAACATGTCATTTTGTAGCTTTCCCATCATGTGTACAGATATAGTATATATGCACTATATATGTTTCTGAAATGCAGTTTCTAGCTTTCCAGATGCTTTTTAGCTATATGCCATGATATATGAAACACGAAGCCAGGCTCAAATTGTTTTCTTGCTGATCACAGAAGTCCCAAACCAACCTGCTGTCAGATTTTTTTAAAATCTCATGATACTCGGACCCTTGCCATCGTGGTCTTCTAATACTGCTGTACAGAGAAATCTTTATGCTTTGGTGTAGTTTTCTGACACTTTAAAAATACCACTTTACTATGTGCAAGTGTATATTTTTTTTTTTTAAAAAAAAGGTGAAACATTGGAAAACAATTTTTTAAGTTTTGTTCAGTTACAGACATTTCCTCAATACATTGGCAACCTCTTGTGTCATTTTTGCATTAGAATAAGTTTTGGGCTTGACTTGATAGTTTGTTGAAGTAAAATGTATATTTCTTTTCTGCTTAGAAAGAAAGAAGTGCTCTTTGCTATCACCTGTTGTAGTTAGAATGTGTTGTGGCCTGGTTTTGTATAATATCAATTCTTACTAATGACATGAAGAATGTCCTCAAGCCTTTTTTAATTCTCCAAAGGAATAGCAAATGCCCACTGGTGCACTCCCTCTAAAATTAATTTTGTAATGTTTAAATATATGGCAAAAAGAACAAAATTGCCTTGAAACTACAGTCATGATAAAGGTGGATCTATTTTGGAAGATTGGCTGTTGTGCCTAATTTTTCATATCTGATCAAAGCTTTAATCTCCAGGAAGACCTGAGTAGATTTGCAAGAGTATTATTTCTAAAATTTCCTTCCCATGGGATTTTTACAAATGTAAGAGTCATATGGAACAGAAGTAACTTACGTTGCTTGTTATACTTACTGTTTTAAGCTTACCAGGTATAGGTTGTAATTCCTGAAAGATCTTTTTCTGCTGTTACTTCTGGTATAAAATTATGTACAGGAGTAGGGCTGCTCCTGGTTTAAAATGTGTACAAAAGTCTAACTAAAAGTCTGCTGTTTGAAATTGTGATCATGGCATGTTCCAGGGAGGGGGATTAATCATAAGGTCCATTTCCTTTCGTGGAAAAAGGAGGTGTGAGGTGGGGCTCTCTTCACTGTTGGTGCAAAGATCCTGCAGTTGCTATGCTCCCCTAAAATGCTCTTTAGAAGAGTACAGAGAATCAAGCCTGCCACACAGTTACATTTGCCATTGCAGATCCCCTCTGGAGAAATACTGGCACTGGTTGTGAAGGACCCTGTTTGGAAGGTCATAGGGAAAGTGAGCATATAAAGGAATTTCAGCTGCGATTTCAAGGATGAATGTTTTACCCTTCAGAGGTTACTAGGTTAACCCTTATGCAACCAAATATGGAATGTGGGTGTGGAGTTTTTTTCATGACCGTCTTAGTATTATAAGATAAAGCTTAAATGCTTTTTTTGCGTAGTCTTTGCAATGGGAGTGGAGCCACAGAAGTACAGATTGTTTTCCTGTTACCACAGGTCACTCACTGTGGACAAGATAAAGATGTCCTCCTACATTTAACTAGGGGGGGAAAATAAAGATGTTTTTCAGTTCCTTGCAGCGATAAGTGTGATGGAATTCCAGACTTCTAGAAATGCAAGTGAGAGCAGCATATAGTCAGTGCTTAAACGTGAGTGCTAAGAGTTGTGTGACACCAATAAAAATGTTCAGCGTTAGGTCTTCATTACATGATGTGGGATATGTCATCACTGTTGCATCACCTGGCCAACTAAAGTAGCCAAAACAAATGGGAGCTGTATTTTTGATGTTGTATTTCACCTTAGAATAAAAACCTATTCTCAAAGGAAGACTTATCATGGAGTTCTGATTACTTTGAGATTGCACAATGAAACAATTGAGCCGTATCGTGAGAAGTAAGGTTTTTATTTAACTAAGCAGTACTACCTTGTGAAATACTTTCTTATAGCTGTCTTTCAGGAATTATATCCAGAAACAGAAAAGCTGAAAACAGGTTATTGAAGTATTCATCTGATGAATATTCAGCTACTTATCACTATGGTGATAATGCTTGCAACAGACTTTGGAAATATATGTGAAAACCGTGTTTGAGGTTTAGTACAGGTTAAACTTTTTCGAGGTCTGCTTGGTTAAATTTGGACTGATAGTACAGGAAAGCTATATCCTTCAAAGATGGACTGCTTTTGAATGTCCAGTGCAATAAGCTTGAGGGATGCTACAGCCTCTTTTGAAAAACTTTTCTAAAAAAAGTGTGAGAGAAATCATTGAACTTCTTAAGTCATTTACCCTGCTTATAAAATTCAACCCAAAAGCTAAGAACTGATAGTTACAAGCATTTGAAAGTAGTAAATTATTGTATGAACCATTATTATTATATGAAATTATTATGAACCACCCTGAAAAAAGAGGCGCTCTGCTTTCCCTCTTCATAATCTTAAATCGACAACTTTAAGTGTTCCCTTTCAGAGCACAGCATTTGTACAGTCTGAGCTTTTTGCGTATATTTTGTAATGATGTTTAGTTAACGTCATCCTGCAGCTTTAAACTGGGGGAGACTCACTTTTTAGATGTCTAATATATAAGATTTAATTTACAGGCTGAGTGCAAGCTAATTTTACTTGGGTTTCTGCAAAGTACAGCTTTCACTGACTGCACTGAATAAACAAACACTGGTTTTGTAGCCGGCAAGAGATTCTTGTGGTAAAGTAAGATCTCTTCCAAGCAGAGGGAATTTGTCAGTTGAATGAACTAAAGCTGTCAGAAGTGTTCATTAAAGGAATGTTTTGGAGGGCATTTTCAGCTTTTAAAGTTACCTGAATTGCTTGTCTATCCAGCTACCACAGAAGAAAAGAATAGACTATAGATAGTCTAAATTTTAAGCGTTTGCAATTAAAAAGCATCTTACAGAACACTCAATCAATGAGGTCCGGACTATATTTGTAACAAACAAATACTCCTTATATGAAGAACAATTTCGTAATTGTAATCTTAAATATTTGTGTCAGAATTCTTGGAATTTGGGAATGGAGTAAGCTGGGACTGATTCCCCACCCACCCTCCTGCCAACCCCAATTAAACATTGTTGAAACTTGTTGGCTTTGATCTCTGACCAAAGATTTAACTACAACCCTTGCAGCCATGTATTATCAATGAAGCTTTATCTACTCCAGAGAATGTGTTTTGAAAGCAGAATGCTATTTTCTCTCCTCTGGACTACAAATGAGGTTTTGCATAGCACTTGGTGTCAACTAATTTAACATTACAATAATATGAGACTATTCTTCTAGCTGTTAGGGTTTGTTATGTTAAATAGGGGCAAAGTTCCATAAGATCCTGAAGGGACGTATGAGGTGCCAAAGAAATAAATTGGTTACAGTTCAGAACAGCATATTTAGGTTTTGTGTAATACTGAATTAAATTAGGTAATCTGTGTGGCTAAGTACAATTATTAAATAATTTTATATACTAGGAAGAAAGCTTTAGTTTTGGAGACTCTGGTACCTAAAGTGAACGTTTTGTTGTTTCTGATTTTGAAAGGATCTTGTTCTGATGCAGTATGTCTTATGGCAAGGTTGGGAAAGTATTTTCTAATTAATTTCTTCAATTTCATATTAATTCCAGTGGAAGTTGGATATCCAGAAGGTAAAAAAATTAATATAGACAATATCAGGGTTGTATACATGTAGGGGAAGGGAAGTGTGTATGTCATAAGAGTAGTCCTGGTTTGGGGTGGCAGGAAGAATACACTCAGAGCTGATTTCTAATCTTGGGTTTACTATGTCAGCAGAAAGCTGTGTTGGAGGAAAACTTAAAATATTCAGAGACTTGGTCCTTCTCTAAGTTAGTACCTGTGAACACTTGTTCAGATCTTGTCACTCCTAATTGGAGCA